TACAGAAAACAATCTTGTTTAGCATTAATATTTGCAGTGTGTTGAGTTCTCCTTATAAATGACCAAGAATTTTTTAAGACTGTGAGAAAAATTTTTGATCGACCAAAATTTGCGCTTCAATTTGTTTCTCATTGTCAAACAACTTCGAAAAGGGAAATTTACATTGAGGAGTTGAAACGCCACATGAATCTCACTCAGCTAGGAGCCTGTATTGCTGGACGATGTTCACCAGAATGTGAAAAAGTTGCAGTTGGTATGCCTTAGAAAAAACATAAGTAAATTGTACAGTTTTGCAGAAACTTTAATATCCCAAAAAAAAATCTTGGTTCAAGGAACAAATTCTGGAGTACTTTTTCGCTGTGTGTTGAAATAAATGGTTTGTAAAGAGTCGTTTGTAATTTCTTCTTTATTTTATTTTAAAGCTTTATTTATTTATTCAATTTTATTTCTGGTCTATCAAGGAACACTTAATTTCTAAAGATAAAAGATAATGCAGAATTAAGAGTAAAATTTGGAGCAACCCATGTTAAGACAACTAAGAAGCAGCAGTGCTGTAATTGATCAACTTCCGCAAGCAAAAAAAATCTGACTTTTCTTAAATTGAAATTTTCTCCGTTTTTACTTCTAACTTAAAGTGATTAATACATAATCTTTTTTTAGCTGAACATAAGTTCTACTTAGCTTTTGAAAATAGCATCTGCCGAGATTATGTCACTGAAAAGATGTTCTATCGTCTTGGACACCTGCTACCAGTTGTCCTAAAGAGGTCTACTTATGCGGGTATTGTTCCTTCTGATGCTTTTGTTGCGGCTGACGATTTTGAGTGTCCCGAACAACTGGCAAAACATCTCAAGTTTCTGAGCACTAACTACACCGCATTCTCTAGGTTGGTAGCTTCTTTTTTAATTTAGTTATTATCTTGTCGCGTTGCGTAACTAAGATATTGTTTGATTGAAATTTTTTGTGCTTTCTTTAGTTCAGTTAAGTCGCTTTTTTCTTCTTTAGGATTAATGTACACTTTGTTTTGAATCTAAATTAAAAAAAAATTAATAAAAATTAGCTATAAATGCTTTTTTTTTCAAACGTCAACTTGAGAAATCGAAAAAAAAAAACAGATAACAGAGCTAAGTTTTTAAATTTAAAATGATTCGCAAAAACTTTTCATAGGAAATCTGCGGTTGAAAGATTTTGAAACA